CTCGCCAGACATGGGGAGAACATGCAAACTCCACACAGTGGCCCCCGCTGGTAATCAGTGTGTTTGTGGTTTTTTGTGTTTGTTTGTTTTTATCAACGTTAGAACAAAATGAAGTTATTCAAGGACCTGCTGTGTTAAAATGTTCACATCGAGCACATACTACTTTTGTAAGTAGCAAAGACACGAAAGGTGGTCATGTTTTGGCGGGAAATGCATCACAGAAAGTGGTAAGCAGAGGAGAAATCCTTAGAGATATCAGAGCTCAGTAAAGAATAAGAGCGGTTTTGACTAAAGAGAAGGACTTGTCAGTCTCGGGAGGGGTCACACATGAACTTGACCTTGAATCAGTAGGATAGGTATGATCAACTTATACTTCACTCTGGGTTATCTCTCTGCATGTGAAGTTTCATGCAGAATTACTAACAAACTGACTTCCCTCTCCCAGCTAACTTACCAACAGGTCAGTTTACCCAGAAGTTAAATCTCTTGATAAACCTGTCTCATATTGTCGGTGCCAGCCTATCTTGTCATTACTGCAGATAAATTGAGTTATGTGGGTTTATACGGAGGGGCATTAAAATCCTATGTGGATTATATTAAGATTCTTAGTACTAATCTTCATCTTCTTTGGCCCTGGACCTCCACCCTAATGAAATTGAAAAAGTAAGCCAAGATTTATTTAATGTAGCGTTAATTATAATAAAAATCTGGAATAGCTCAAATATCTAAACCACATGAGTAAGTAGATTATGTGAAGGGATATATCACAGCCTTTAAAATATTTACAATGAATTTTTAATGACTTGTTGGGAGCTTATGATAAGTACAAAAAAACCCAACAACAACCAAAATCGTATTCAATAGAGGGAAAAAAAAGAATCTGCTGGGAGCCCCTATATGTCAGAACTTCCTGTGAGAGGTTGAAGGCACATGTCTTCGTATCAGCGGTTACACTCCAGCTTCCTTGGTTTCCCCATGGACAGGAGTTTGGGACAAAGGACATTTTCAGTAATCTCTTGGGTTATTTCCTATTAAGGTGGTATTTTGTCAGAATTTTCTTACAATAAAGATTAGGCACTGGGGGCAGCATATTCAGTGCTTGACAAAGAAACGGGTAACAGATGAAAAATGGAGCCTGTGCCCAGGGCTTCTGAGAAGTGAGTATACCGTGGGACCAAACCCAAAACCAAGGCTGAGTAGACCGAAAGAGTGCCAGAGCCATTCCTGATTGGAATCCCTGACACTAATTTAGTCTCTAGACTAAGTTTTCCCGTCCACAAGGTAGTAACGGGAATATTCTCATCAGAATGCCCCATTCACATCTGGAAATTTAAGAATCAGTCAGCCCAGCCCAGCCAGTGTTGCTCAGTGGTTGAGCGTCGACCCATGAACCCAGGAGGTGATGGTTCAATCCCCGATCAGGGCACATGCCTGGGTTGTGGGCTCAGTCCCTGGTGGGGACGTGCAGGAGCAGCCAATCAATGTTTTACTCTCGTTGATGTTTCTATCTCTCCATCCATCTTCCTTCCTCTCTCTAAAATCAATAAAAACATATTTTTTTAAAAAGAATCAGGTTGATAGAAGCACTTCCTTAGGGGAAAACCACATCCACACTCGGGGAACAGTAACCCCAGAGTGTGGTCACAGGAGGCTTTCTCTCATGTAGAATAAACATGCATTGAATAACCGGAGGAGCCTTGCATGGCAGTAAGTACCAGCCACAGTGGGACCCTGTCTTCCAGGGCTTAGAACTGTGTACTTTACAAACCCCGCGTGTGCAGATGTTTGCACTCTTGATACCTGTTTCAGTGGCTCTGGGCATTGTCTAGCCTCGGGTCTTGCAGGCCGGGAAAGGTAAATAAAGAACCTTGACAACCTTTTATTCCACATTCTGCTGCTGGGCTTCTGGTCACCTGCCCGGCTGGTGCGGACCTGCCCTGTGCCTGATCAAAGCAGCAAAGCTGATGAAAGATGGGAAAAATACCTGTGTGGGTGGGGTCGAGGGGAAGGGCATGCGGAGGTCAGCGAGGCAAGGCCTTTGGCTGCTTCTGGGAGGACTTGCCGAGACTTCCCACCTGTTTCCTGCCATTCACACCCTTCTCGTGCTCTTCTTTCCGTTCCCGTCTCTCTGTGCACAGTCCAGGGTAACCCAGTTTACCAGTGACCTTCGTCTGGCAGCATCCACCAGGGCATCTCGCCCATCCTGTCTGAAACAGCCTTATCTTGAGACTGTTGGATGTTATGAAGATAGGGTTTCTGGCAATCGGAATCTCCCCACTGTGGTTTAGATGGGTTTTTAAAATAGTCTTACCAAGCTTGACGAGGTAAAACGGTAAACGATCCAAGGTAGGAAGGTTGGTTTAAGGAATATGTGTCATCCATCTCACTGAAAACAGGGCGAGGGGGACAGTGTGACCAAGTAGTGTCCTGTGCTTTTCAATTGGCTTTGGGAATAGGATAATAAACGTGTCCTCTTCTAAATAGGGGTTATCTGTGGCCTCTTTCAAATCCCGAGCCGGCTCCTAACTGGCAAGTTCCCCGGGAGGACCCTGCTCAGCCCTGGTATATGCAGGAAATAAGCCTAATTTAAAAGCAGCTTACATTAAACATGACTTGTAAAGTTAAGTCAACTGTGAGAATTATCATTTTCTCAAACTAAATATTTGTGCTTGGATCCCGTGCATGAGCCTGGCTGTTTCTGAGGTTAGGCTGTAAATGGGATTTAAGCACCTTAATATTGACCTGCTCTCTTCAAAGTGGAAACCAGGAGACTGGCCAACCCTCCTAGATGATGTTGAAAATGTCTCTTTAAAAGTGCCTGCCCTGGTGGGCCGTTGCCTCACCTCCACAGCCCGAGACTGCCACGCTCCTGTGGCGCAGGGGAGCCTGGAAGCCTCACAGGTCCCCAGTCTTGCAGGCGTTCGCCCGCAGCCATTAGCCTCGCCAGGTGCGCCAGCATCAAAGCGGGGGTGCCGGGTGCTCCTGATCTAGATGCTTCTGAAGGCTGCTTCCCCTCAGGTGCTGTTTGATGTGTTTGATCGTGGAATGAAAGCCAAGTTCAGGAATGAGAGGTCCTGTTTATTACCTCGTATTCCGTATTCCGTGCTGTTCCTCCAGGCGCTTCGACATCTTGGGAGAGTGTGAAAGACTGGGACACAAGCCCTGGCTGACTTGGGGTCCATGGGCTGTTGGCCTCAGGCAAAGGAGTCTCTGCATCATGCCCTCTCCTGCTGGAGGCAGGTGATAGGACAACTCCAGCTCTTTCCACATTGCTCTGGACAGTCAGTTGAGTGTCCAAGATTGGAACTGGGCCCTAGCTGGTTTGACTCAGTGGATAGAGCATCAGCCTGCGGACTGAAGGGTCCCGGGTTTGATTCCGGTCAAGGGCACATGCCCGGGTTGTGGGTTCAATCCCTAGTGGAGCCAGAAAGAGCTTCTCAAGGGTCACTGCTGACTGCAGCGTGGTGGTGAGATGGGGTGGGGTGGACCAGTGGCAGAGGAGACTTTATGTATTCAGAGTAACACACTGAGTCTCAGATCAACAAGAAGGAGTCCCGAGCAGATAGGATAGGACAGCTTCGGCAGCACAGCACCAGCGTGCCCGAGCCTTCGCAGTGTCCCTGAGGATTTCACTGTCCTGCTTGTTGAGTGCCAACCACAGGGAATGGATTTGTTCTAAAAAGGTGGGATAAGACTGCCCTCTAGTGGGCTGGTAGAGCCGAGCCATTGGTCTAGCCACCTCATCCCCTTAGGTCCAGTGTTGCTTTCTTATGCTGCAACTATGTGGAGTGATTATTCATTTTTTTTTTAAATTTATTAAAACAAAATTTTAATAAATTAAAATTTGGAGATTTTGAAGAGAGAGAGAGAAACATTGATGTATTGTTCCACTTATTTATGCATTCATTGGTTGATTCTTGTATGTGCCCTGACTGGGGATTGAACCTGAAACCTTGGTGTATTGGAACAATGCTCCAATCAACTGAGCTACCCGGCCAGGGCCTAGAGTGATTATTCTTATGGAAGGAATTCAAATTGTATACTTTCCCAAAAACCCTGGCCCTAGATACTATCTTGACCTCAGAGCGTTAGCCATTCTTTGCCCATCTTATAGGAGGTTTTGGTCCTTCCGCGCCTCTTTCTTTCTCTCCGCCCCCCTCCCCCCCATGTTAGAGGTTGTAACAAGATTCAGGTTCCTAAATGCAAAGATTATGTCTTATGTCTTTCTCTTCTGTAGCTTCTACCCATCTTCCACTTAGCTGGACATAAAGTTAAAAGGTACATTGGGATGGAAAGGAATCCTTTTCCCAAAAAAAGAATCTCACCCCTTCTCATTTGTTCCTAAAACATTCGAATCTCATCTCTCTGATCAATAGTTTCCCAGGTAGTTAAGTCATCAGAATCCCTCAGAAAACTTTTAGAGCTGTTTCCTGGGCCTCCCTCCAGCCCTGCTGAACCAGTCTCTGTGGTTTGAGCCAGGAAATCTGCTTTACAAACTTCCCAAGTGGCTTTTGATGTGCAGCCAGGTTTGGCAGCCAACTGCTCTAAATCCCCATTTACAAAGATTTCTCCTAGCCTTTCCCTCGGACGGCGTCTCCAAAGGCCTTCGGCCCGTGTCAGTTATTAAAACTGACCATCTTGAGACGCCTTCGGAAATACCCCGTACGCTGCTCCCACTGCAGTGCCGGGTGCCACGGGAAGAGAGAAGGACCACAAGAGAGGGACCAAAGGCATTTGCTTTGGTTGCCAGTGGCTCTGTGTTCATAGCAGAAAATACTGAAACCAATACCTTTATGCTGACGGGGCAGGTTGTCGGTTTGTCGTTTGTTTTTAATGTTGAGGTTGGAGAGGGAGACAGAGGTTGATTGAGTACCCAGTTTTTTTTATCTTCACCTATTCTAACTCATCTTGTTCTCAAGGTAGGTGGCCTTGCCCCTTGATGTACAGAGAGGAAAGGTCAGAGGGCCAGAATGCCAACCTGCTCTGTTTCCTTCTGCCAGGCCAAGCGAGCGGTGCAGCGGGGAGCCACCGCCGTCATCTTCGATGTGTCTGAAAACCCAGAAGCTATCGACCAGGTAAATCCTCGGACCGTGCCGGCACCGCACCCTCCCGAGAGAAGCCCCGCCTTTGGGTAGCTTGGCCTGTCACAGTCATGTCAGCCTCATCTCAGGGCCTTGGCATTGTCTGCTGATGGTAGCTGTCCGCGCTTGGACATCATACTCAAGGCCAGACTATGGAGAGGGGTTAAGAGCCAGGAAAGTTGGGATAGAGGGGACATTTCCCAAGACCCTCTGGGCCTTCAGTCTGCCCGGTCCAGCCTAGAACCAGCCTCATCCTCAGCCTTGCCGTCCGGGAAGCTCCGAAGCAGTCATGCTTGAGGAGTCGGGTGATTTCCAAACGGGTATTCCGTATGCGTTTCCTCCAGCCTTTCTCTCTCTCTCCTGCTTCTTACAGTAAGCACGTCTTCTAACCGGGAGCGTCTCTTCTTCCTTAGCTAAACCAGGGCCAGGAAGACCCGCTCAAGAGGCCCGTGGTGTACGTGAAGGGCGCAGATGCCATCAAGCTGATGAACATCGTCAACAAGCAGAAAGTGGCTCGAGCAAGGATTCAGCACCGGCCCCCTCGAGTGAGCCTCCGCCCCGGCCACCACGCCCGGCCCCTTCTCTGCTGCCACCTGAGCCTTCATTCCCTTTGGGCTTTGGGCTCTCACTCCTGTCTTCTTTCTGATCGAATGCTGATACGCCCCAGGTTCCTATCGGTTTAGGTCAATGCTCCTCTAGCGGGGGTTGGGAAAGCCCTACCAGAAATAGCTGATTCGGGCCAGGATCTCCCTGGTCTCTTCCACCCAGTGTTCCCTCTTGGGAAACTCTTCTCTCTCTCCTGTCCCGTCTCCCTCTGAAAGGCTGACTGAGGAGGATTGAAGGGAAGGAATTCTCAGCACAGAGCTTCCCACGTCTGCTCCTTCCATGTGACCTAGAGCCGAGGGAAGAAGCCTGTGCTTCCTTCTTCCGTGGGGTCAATAGCGTTATTAAAACCCCGAACTGGTACTGATTCTGGAAAAGTTAGCTGTCAGCTGGGATTGAAGTTCATGGCTTGTAGGAGGTTAATGAATAGTCTTTAAGGCTTCCCGTAAGGGTGTCGACACCGCTGACCATGAACTCTTGTCTGGCATCTTCTGCCTAAACTTCTGAAGATTCTAGGAACTTGGGACAGGTGCCCCATATCTGGTTTATTTCCTTCTCACAGATATTGGGATCTTCACTCTAGGATGGTTCTTTTCCATGCACATCATAGCTGGACACCTGAGGCATTCAATTAGCAAAATTCTATTCCTATTGGCTAAAGGCAGGTCGTAGGTAAGGTGACCTCAAGGTCTTAGGAGGCAGTGAGACGTGAGGAAAAGGTAAGAACTAAAAGTAGAGGGAGTTTGCAGAAGAGCTGACATGCTGGCTTCTTTTTTAAAGGAAAAAAAAGAGCACTTTGGTAAATATGACTCATTGTAGTGGAAGCTGATATTTGTGGAAGCAGCGTACAATTTTCTGAGTTGTTGTAAACCATTAATTACATGGTTAGTAATCACTGCTCCCTCAAAACATGACACTCATTCCTTTGTCCCAAAAATGTGATATTTGTGTTTATTTGGAGAAGCCTCTCCTACCGGTTCTAGCGAACTTTGCACTATTCCGCTGGGAGCTGGGCTTTATGAACTGTTAGGAGACCTGGCTGAGGCCGCTGCAGGCCTCCCCCTGGCGACACTGGAGGGTACTACCTGGCCTGAATAGCACCCGGTGTGCCTGTTAGCAGATCCCCAGGTGTTCCCTGCAAATGGGGGGGCGAGGGGGAGTGCACCCCAGTTGCCCCATCCTTATTCCGACTTGAGCCAACACAGCCCGTGCGCCGAACCTCAGGCTGAAGAGAGCGGTGACTCACTGTGTCTGTGTTCTGTTCCAGCAACCCACAGAGTACTTCGACATGGGGATTTTCCTGGCTTTCTTTGTCGTGGTCTCCTTGGTCTGCCTCATCCTCCTTGTCAAAATCAAGCTGAAACAGCGACGCAGTCAGGTAATGCCTCTGAGCAGCCCGTGCACACTGATGCCAGCTGCCCTGCCCGGTCCCAGGGGCCGAGAAATAGCAAAGACAGAAAAGCTAGAGCACAGCTTCCAGCGCTGTGTCTTCTCTGTTCTAAAAGGCCCGGTCCTGCAAAGGCCGAGCATTAGGGGTGTTGCCAGCCAGGCATTTTTCCAAAGAAATGTTTAAATGTTCATGTGGAACCCAGAGCCTTGATCTGGGCACCAGCAGCAGCAATGTCACCCGGGAGCTTGGTAGAAATGCAGGGTCTCAGGCCCCGCCTCAGACCTGCTGAACCTAAGTCGCATCTACCTCGCTTTCCAGGTGATTCTCAAGGAACAGAGTAGGCGCTCTGGGGCCCCAGCTGGCACATGGCTGTGTAGGAAGGATTTGGGGGTGGAAGGTGATGAGAGGCTAGGCGGGAATCTTGACTCTCAAATGGGTAGCAGCGTGCTGCCGGGGGAGCGATGGTGGACCTTGGCGGGCAGTCTGTTGAGAGGAGCATCGCCGAGTTCTCAGTAGAACAGTGGCTGGTGTTTGCCGAGCACATCTGATTTACCAAGGGCTAAGCCCTCACGCACACTGTCTCATTTGCCCTCGGAACTTTCTCCAGGGTAAAGGGGAGAAACCCTGGCACAGAGCAGGGTCTTGCAGAGTTGGCCAAGCCCTTGAAGTAGACCTCTGCCGGTCCTTCCCCTGGGGGAGGCCTGGGTTGCTGTCATGGGCACCCAGGAGCCTGGCACATCTGGGCCGTGGCAATCTGAATTTTCAGTCATTTTCCAAATGTCTGCTCTGGCCTGATCGAGACTAGCATTTCCCTATCCTGGTTGATCGAGCGCCGAGGCCCGGAGGGTGACTCCCACTGTTCATACGTGCCAGACCCTAACGCGGGCCACCCTCTGCCATGCAGAATTCCATGAACAGGCTGGCTGTGCAGGCGCTGGAGAAGATGGAGACCAGGAAGTTCAACTCCAAGAACAAGGGGCGCCGGGAGGGGAGCTGTGGAGCCCTGGACACGCTCAGCAGCAGCTCCACGTCCGACTGTGCCATCTGCCTTGAGAAGTACATCGACGGAGAGGTAATGGCAGAGGCTGGGCTCGTGGGGACGGGCTAGCTGATGGCCTGTTCCCCTCTCCCTAGGACCCTTGTGTGGGCTCTGACTCCAGGGAATGGGGCCCACCTGTACTAGAGATGGAGCGGGCTGGGAGGGAGCCTGGGGTACTGGCATGGTGGGCAGGGCTCCTTGGCGCCCACTGGGCTCCACAGGAAGAAGCCCCTGCCTTCAGGCTGTGTGTCTCCCTCCCTCCCCAGGAGCTGCGGGTTATCCCCTGTACTCACCGCTTTCACAGGAAGTGCGTGGACCCGTGGCTGCTGCAGCACCACACCTGCCCCCATTGTCGGCACAACATCATAGGTAATTGTCACCTGCCTCTCGTGGCGGGAGAGTCGTTGCCTGGCAAGAGGGTGACACCCGCTGCAGACTGGTGAGCGGCATTGTCCTCTGGACTGGAGGTGTGGGCGCCTCGGGTGTGGAGGTTACCAGCCTCCAAGCACTGCGGAGAGCCTGGCATGAAGACTCGCCCTGCGTTTGAGTTTTGGCTTCCACACGAACCCGCGTCCTGGCCTGTCCAGGCCTCAGGCCCGCGATCTCTTTAGAGGGAATGACAGTAGTGGTGCTTGCCCGTGCCCGGTACTGCGGAGCCGTTCCCGGGCCACAGGGGATGGTGACTGGGAGTGGCAGGGTCGTGCTGCTGCTGCTGTCACTGTGGTATTGGGTGGCGGGCCTGGATCGCAGGGTGCACTCCAGGTGGCTGCGTTGCCATGAGGGACGGTACCTTCCATCTTGGTAGCCCTGTTGCCCTCTGCAAACTCCTGTGGTGCCTTTGTGGGGCGGAGCAGTGGGAGGTGGGGGCTGAGCCCTGATGGGAGTGACCGCCTTTCAGAGAAGCGGGTCAGTCATTCTCTGCCAGCGAGGCCGAGTTTGGTGACAGCTTAGAGCAGCTCAGGGTCGTGAAACGGGCACCGAGGTATGTGACCAACCCTGCTGCTTCGGTCTTTGCCCTGACCTCTATGTCCCTCTAGCCCTGCTGACTCTGCTTCCTCTGCTTCCTCCACCTTTCCCCAGAGCAAAAGGGGAACCCGAGCGCCGTTTGCGTGGAGACCAGCAACCTCGCACGCAGCCGGCAGCAGAGGGTGATCTTGCCGGTGCACTACCCCGGCCGCGTGCACAGGACCAACGCCATCCCAGCCTACCCCACGAGGACGAGCATGGACTCCCACGGGAACCCCGTCACCCTGCTGACCATGGACCGGCACGGGGAGCAGAGCCTCTACTCACCACAGACCCCCGCCTACATCCGAGGCTACCCACCCCTCCACCAGGACCACACCCTGGCCCCTCACCGCTGTGGCCTGGAGCACCGAGCCTACTCCCCGGCCCACCCCTTCCGCAGGCCCAAGTTCAGCGGCCGCAGCTTCTCCAAGGCAGCTTGCTTCTCCCAGTATGAGACCATGTACCAACACTACTACTTCCAGGGCCTCAGCTACCCCGAGCAGGAGGGCCAGGCCCCACCCAGCCTCGTTCCCAGGGCCCCGGCCCGTGCCTTCCCCCCGAGTGGCAGCGGCAGCCTGCTCTTCCCCACCGTGGTGCACATGGCCGCGCCCTCCCACCTGGAGAGCGGCAGCACGTCCAGCTTCAGCTGCTACCACGGCCACCGCTCCGTGTGCAGCGGCTACCTGGCCGACTGCCCCGGCAGCGACAGCAGCAGCAGCAGCTCCGGCCAGTGCCACTGCTCCTCCAGCGACTCGGTGGTGGACTGCACTGAGGTCAGCAATCAGGGCGTGTACGGGAGCTGCTCCACCTTCCGCAGCTCTCTCAGCAGCGACTATGACCCCTTCATCTACCGCAGCCGGAGCCCCTGTCGCGCCAGCGACGTGGGGGGCTCGGGCGGCTCGGGCCGGGGGCCGGTCGTGCACCTCGAGGGCTCCCCGCCACCCGAGGAGCTCCCAGCAGCCCACAGTCAAGGTGCTGGGCGGGGAGAGCCTTGGCCGGGCCCTGCCTCTCCCTCCGGGGACCAGCTGTCCACCTGCAGCCTGGAGATGAACTACAGCAGCACCTCCTCCCTGGAGCACAGGGGGCCCAACAGCTCTACCTCAGAAGTGGGGCTCGAGGCTTCTGGGGCCGCCCCAGACCTCAGGAGGACCTGGAAGGGGAGCCGCGAGGGGCCGTCGTGTGCCTGCTGCTGCGAGCCCCAGCCCTCCGCCCTGGAGCCCAGCGGGGGAGTGGCTGGGGGCAGCACCTTATTCCTGGGCGCCCCCCTCTGTGAGGGCTGTGGCCCCACGGGTGTGGAGTCCCAGCCGGGAGGCTCCCAGGGCCTGTGTGGCCTTCACCCAGACCATTTGCCCAGGACAGATGGGGTGAAATATGAGGGCCTGCCCTGCTGCTTCTATGAAGAGAAGCAGGTGGCCCACGGCGGCGGAGGGGGCAGCGGCTGCTACACTGAGGACTGCTCGGTGAGCGTGCAGTACACGCTTGCCCAAGAGCCCCCGCCCAGCTGCCACCCGGGGGCCCGGGACTTGAGCCAGCGCATCCCCATCATTCCAGAGGATGTGGACTGTGACTTGGGCCTGCCCTCGGACTGCCAAGGGACCCGTGGCCTCAGCCCCTGGGGTGGGACGCTGGGCCCCAACACCCTGCAGCCCCACAGGAGCCTGGGAGCAGCCCAGGAAGAAGAGCGGGTTCTGTGCTACCAGCCCCGGGCACCGCTGCCACCTGCCCGCCCTCCGGAGGAGGCAGGGGCCGCCAGGGCCAGCTTCCCCAGTGCCTCCCAGGACACTCAGGAGTCCAGCGCCACGGCCCCTGAGGCTGCAGGTGAGAGCAGGTGACAGCGGGCCGGAGCTGGGGTCCTCTTCTCTCTCCGCAGTCATGTTCTAAGGGCTCCCTTTGTGCCGTTGACTTGAAACACCATCTGTACCTGGTAACTTCCAGTGTTACTCCCCAACTCAGCCCTTCCCTGGGTGCCAGACCCATTGGGCCCTTTGCTTCCATAATTTCCCCCCCTGGATGCCACGCAAGCACCCCCACCTGTCAGGTCCACAGCAGCCTCTCAAATTTCTCCTGCACCCCCTCCTCCAGGGTTCCCCACCCAAAACCCCAGCACCATCTAACCCTGGGCCCACCCTGCCCCTCACACTTGTGTCCTGGGCTTCTCAACCTGAGAATTGTCCAGAAAATTGAATTCCCAGAAAAATGAAACTAGGCAAAAGACATGTCAAATCCAAGTCCAGAATTCTTATTAGATTCAGCTGACGTCATCAGATTGCTATAAAGTCCCCAAACCTTCTGTCTCGGTAAGAAACAGTGCGGTCCAGCACCTTTGCGTGGTCTCCTGTCACGGGTCTTGCCTTCTCTTCCACCTGGGAGCTGAAGTGGTCTTTGTTTGTTTGTTTTTTCTTCTTTGTTTTTATAAATTTATTTTATTTTATTTTTAAATATATTTTTATTGATTTTTTTTACAGAGAGGAAGGGAGAGGGATAGAGAGTTAGAAACATCGATCAGCTGCCTCCTGCACACCCCCTACTGGGGATGTGCCTGCAACCCAGGTACATGCCCTTGACCAGAATCGAACCTGGGACCCTTCAGTCCGCAGGCCAATGCTCTATCCACTGAGCCAAACCGGTTAGGGCTATAAATTTATTTTTATTTTTTGAGAGAGAGAGAGAGAAACATCAATCTGTTGTTGCACTTCCTTATGCATTCATTGGTTGATTCTGTGTGTGCCCTGACTGGAGATCAAGCCTGCAACCTTGGTGTATTGGGATTTTACTCGAACCAACTGAGCTTCCCAGCCAGGGCCAAAGTGTTCTTTTTTGAACATAAGTCTATGTATTTACACTAGAAAACCTTTAATGACTTGCATGCCCGTTGGAATTTTGAAAATGTAGCCCCCCTGTGGCCTCCATCCTGTTCCTCCAACATTCCTCCAGCTCATGCTAGCCTCCAGACCTCTCTGCTGCTGCTCCCCCAGATCTCAGTTTAAATGACTCCCTCCAGCTACCTCTGAGCTTATCTCACACCCTGTGTCCTTTCCAGGTGATCACAACCCAAAATCACTTTGTTTTGAGGCCTGTAAGCTTATGAGGGGGTCAGGGGGTGTCTTCTCCCCTCCCTGCCCTCCCCAGTGCCTGCAACAGTGCCTGATGCACATCTTCTGAACAATGTGTTTTCATGCTACCTAAGGGCTTCCAGAAGGTTCTGTAGGTCCAGATGAGGGAGGCTGGCTCTCTAGGAGACACCTGTGCTCGGCACAGCATGAGGAGCTCTGCTTAAGCCTTTTGCCGTATGCACAGTCCGTCCAGTGCTGTGAGCTGTCACTTCTGAGAGCCGGCCCCGGGCTGGGGGTGGGCAGCCAAGTCCCTTGTCCCTGTGCATTGTGCCCGAGGCCTGCGGCGCCGGCTCCTCCCTGACGGCTCTTCTCTCTCTCCCAGGACAGAGGTCTCGCCCAGCAGACAGCGGTGGCACGGGAGCCTGAGCCCGGAAGGAACTCTGTGGAAATGGGAACTGTACGGAGACTCCAAACTCTGACTTCTTCAGAAAAAAAAAAATAATTTTTTTTTTTTTTAGCTCTGACAAACACACAAAAGTGGTAATAAAGAGAGCCCTCCTTCTCAACCCAAAATGTGAGCCCCTTGTGGCAAGCCCCCCGCCCTCCCATTAACAAACCAACAGACGAAATTCTCCGAGTCTTTGCCTCTTTTGATAACATGTTCTTCTGTTTTGTAAAGTGTGTGTGCTTGGGGTTCCGAGGTGTGTGGGATTGAGTTCTCGGCTTTGTTTTTTAAGATATTTTATGTAAATGTAAAAAGTTATTTAAATATATATATTTTAAAGAACCCTAACCGCCAACTTTTGCTGAAAGAAAAAAAAAAAAGTCACTGCTGCGTTCATTGAACCACATCATGTGTAGATACTGTTGTCTCCTTGGAGGGAGCTCAGGCCTTTGAAAAGCTCAGGGCTACACCTGCCTTAGAAAATGAACCAGAAACTTGAAGTAAAGCTCGTCGATATGGGTACAAACTCTGAGGAACGATGCAATGCTGCCTCTTTTCTCGTGGCAAATCCCGATGTACAAATCGTCAGGTCTCCGAAGCCATATTCCTCCAGCCCTCCTGAGGCAGCTGCTGGAAGCCGCTGGGCAGGGGGTAGGAGGTCAGCAGCACTGGGCCAGGCCGTTGCTGCAGAAGCCCCGGGTGCGACAGGGACGATTCTGCCCAGTGCCCTCAGTCTGTCCCCCGGAATCATCCCGAGGGAAAGGGCCGAGTTCACAGTCATGATCTCGGGCTCCCTGCTACCCACCGGCTGCAGAAAGGGATCGAGGGGGTGTGCGGGGACCAGCACCCAGGAGGAATGTAGTTTGCGGCTTTGGTGTCTGAAGGGGCTGGGGACCGAGGATGCGATGGAGCTGCTGCGTCCTTGGGCTGCCTTCCTGGGGGGGGTGCGTGGCCAGGACCCCATCGGGGCTACACTAAGCTCTGAATGATACGGTTCCCATCCATCTCCCTACGGAAGCGCCGCTTCAGGGTTATTCAGCCCTCTGCTCGTGGCTGAAGTTGCTCATCTCGCCTGCAAATGTCTACTATCCTTTCTACCTAATGCACTATTACGTATTGGTTCTCCATGAGACAGAGAGAGAAAGAGACTATCAGATAGTTTAGACCCAAAGGGTAGGTTTTTGTATATTTTTCCAGCCTTTCGTTGTTGTTGTTTTTTTAAAAGAGGGAGGGAGAGCTTAAAAACCCAACCCATTTTAAAAAAGATGTTTCCATTATAAAGGGGAGAATCTATTTAAAGCTATTTCAGATCAGGGATTGACTGTCATCCTTTTTGTCCAATGTATTTCTTGTTCTTAAAAAAACAAAACAAAACTATTTTTAGAGGAAACTAATCACATTAGCCCCGCGTTCACTAACTCTTCTGGTCACTTGTTTACTCACTCGGCAGATAGTTGGTGCCACCTGAAAAGCTCCTTTGTGAAATAGATACCCTGGGAGCTGGCCCCTGTAGGTGGGGAACTAGAGGCCATCCTGGTTGCCAGGAGACTGTGATGATTCCTCTCCAGTTAGGCTCTGGGGTCCAGACCAGAACATTTTGAATGAGAATCTCACTGTATCAGAATCCCTTTTTCTTAAAATCCTCAGCCTGTGATGAGGAAACGTACTTAACTCAAAGCCAGGATTTGACAAGCCAGGAAATGCCAGCGTCAAATGATGGAGCCATTTGCCATTTAGGAACTCACCCATTTGCCATTTGGTGAGATTTGTCCTCCAGCCTCCAAGGTGCAGTCCCTTGCGGGGGTTGCTCCCCGCGGGTCTGTGCCCAGCACACCTGTTGGCGAGGGTGTGAGAAGCGCCAGAGCTGTTGACATGTGATCTGGGCCGCCTTTATTTCTCGGGCCAGGACCAGCAGCTGCTGAGGACAACAGCTTGCATTACGTGGTTTTGGGGCGAGGGGGGTGGGGTGAGGGGATGGCTTTTAACATGAACTGTAAAAAGCAGCTCCTCATTGTTGAGATTTTTGTTGTTGTTGTTTGTGGTTTTGTTTTTAATGCCTTTGAGTGCGTATTATCTTCCTTGTCTGAAATCATACCCCCAGAGTGGCTAAAGCCCCAGCTGGAAAAAAAAAAAAAAAAAAAACCACTCCTCAGAGCCTTAAGCAATGAATAGATGAGTAAAAAATGTGGCTTCCACGGGGCTTATTCAAATAAATGTGTCCAATTCTTCACTTGAAAGAACAATAACTACAGATGGCGAAAGAAGCACATTTCATGTTGGTAGTTCGCAGGGTGGTAGAGACAGAAAAATGAAATTTTGAAGCTTTTCAATATCAGCCACTGTCTTAAATTTGTGTTGGCCTATCCGACGGGCAGGGCACCAGAATCAAGGAACCCACTAGAGTATTGCCTCACCATTGAAATCAAAACATCTTCTGTGAAGTTGTAAGACTCCGCTACTGACAAAGTACCGTTTTCAGTGATCCCTCCGTGGTGTGTGGGGCTGACGGGGCTGTGGAAACTGGGGGGCATCACATTTTCCATTGAGCACATCTGCCCCCACCCCTGCCAGGGTGTGACCTTTGGGTGTGGTTCCATGGCCCAACCCTTGTGTGACAGCGGATGTAAACTGAAGAGGCCTAGAACCAGTTCACATGGGGGATGGGGGTGGGAGTTCTGATCAGCAAGGTACCTCTTTGCAGACACAGCCCCAGTACGCAGGTTCAACTCAGCCTCTTCCCCTCGCCTTTGAACCCAAGCCATTTGTTAAAGCCCCACCTGCTGTCCCACTGCTCAGACCCTCCCTTTTGTGCTGCTAGTTTCTACTCAAAAGTTCCTGCAGGACTAATGCTTTTAAAATGAGGTCTAAAAGAGAATGACTAATCAAGAGTACTATTTTTTAAACAGAACTGCCTTTTTCTATTCTTTATATAAACTCTATTGTGTTGGGTCTAACAAGGCACTATTTTAAAATGTGTGTTGTTTTTTTTAAATTTTCTCCCATAGCACTTAAAAGATATTTTGTAAAGACTTTGCTGTAAAGATTTTGTAATAAAACGGTCTAAGGGCTCCTTCTCCAACATTACCATTTTTTTAAAAATGTTTTAAAAGGCTAGAAAACAACTTATGTATATTCTGTATATGTATAGCAGCACATTTCATTTATGGAAATATGTTCTCAGAATATTTATTTACTAATATATTTATCTTAAGCCATGTCTTATGTTGAGAGTGTGACATTGTTGGAATAATCATTGAAAATGACTAACATGAGGCCCTGTAAATACATGATAATTGCACACAGATTTTACATATTTGCCGACCAAAAATGATTTAAAACAAGTTGTAGTCTTCTATGGTTTTGTAACAAATTGTACAAATGACTGTAAAAAAAAAAATACAATTTTATCAAGTACGTGTTCTATGTTGTCATCGCTCTGTTGGGTAAAGGTGTACACATTCCACAAAGGAGAGTTTGCATGAAGCAGTGCCTTTTTTGATGGTTTTTGTTTGTTTTGTTTTTTTGTTAATCCTCACCCGAGGATATTTTTGGGGAGAGTGGAAGAGAGAGGGAAAGACAGAGAAACATCGATGTGACTCACATCAATTGGTTGCTTCCTACAGGAGCCAGGGAAGAGTCTGCAACCAAGGTACGTGCCCTTGATCAGAATCGAACCCAGGACCCTTTGGCCCGCAGGCCAATGCTCTATCCACTGGGCCAAACCGGCTAGAGCTGAAGCAGTGCCTTTAACTTCAGCTCGCTCATGGGAGCACCCATATCATTTCCTCTTTGGTAATCATAGCGTTCAGGTTATTGGGGATTTTGGTGGCATCATGGGATTATGTCCTTGAGGTGATGGTAGTTTTTCTGCTCTTCCCGGTGGAGGGTGAGAGGGAGGGACATGATGGTCAATCCTAGCAGACCTCTTTTTAAAAGTTGGGAACATAGGCTGGATATACCAGTAGACCATCGGCTTTCTCTGCCAGGATCTTTCCTACCTAGAAGACAGAGACCCTCAAACCCCAAGGGAAAGGGGCTTGGAGGGAAAAAGCCCCAAGCACCTAGCCCTCAAAATTACCTGCTCATGAGAGTGAAGGGGAAATGAATCTTGTACCCATTTGTCACGTTTCCAGGGAGGGTGGTTACTAACTTGTGGCGCACTCGGAGATGACCGGAAAGGTGCAAAGTGGTGTTTATTGTTTAGACATCTAGCAGAGAATAGCCTCATCTGTGCGATCCTGTTTCTATTTCTCCCTCTTTAACCTGGGCCACTTCTTGGGCACAGGCTCCTTGTCGACCTCCAGCCACGTCCTGACAGGCAACGAGGCCCTCTGAGCACCTTCAGGGGTGGCAGCCTGGCTGCACAGAGCCTCCCAGAGCTTCTGTTTGATGGCCTTGCCCAGCTCCAAGCTGTACCTCTTGGGGGTCCCCGAAGGGTTCCACAGCATCGGCTCGACCACAGCATGGTACAGAGCCCGGTAACCCTCTGTGGGCAGGCCGTGGATGGTTAGCATGTCTGACAACGGTTGTCTCTTCCTGGCTTCAGGAAGCAACGCCTGGCCCTTCCAGGCTGCTGTCCCCATGTCCCTGCGTAGCGCTTGGGTGGCGGCCACATGTTCGGCATATCTGCTCTCAAGATCTTGGCTGACTGTTCCTTTTTCCTCCTTTGAACTTTCTTTACTCTGGCCAGGAAGAAAGCAGAGAAGTCAAAGCTAAAACTTGAGAAGGGAGCTCAGAATAATTATCTGGGATTTGTGTCCCAGAGTCTTGGTTACAGCCACAACCAACATTCGTCTAGTAGCGTGTGCGAGCTTACCGAATTCCTCCGTGTATACCACTGCGTTCGTCCCCCCGGAACCCTGTAAGGTCGGCAGGAGACAGCTTTAAAGGCAAGGGAGCGGGAATTGGTTTGCCCAAGGCCACACAGCTAGGAAGTTAATAACCACAGTTGTTGTCTACTGAATGCCACACGGGATCCTAGGCATTTAGTCTGTGCCAGGCTCTGTTCAAAAGCCCTTTGCACGTATTTACTCACTTAATCCTCACGAAACCCTATGAGGAAAGAGCTATTACCCCTCATTTTGTAGACGACAAAAACCAAGGCAGAAAGAGGCCAAGCCCACTGTTGTCCTGAATTATAGTCAAAGCTGGGATTTGAACCCGACAGCCTAGCTCCAGGGCGCGTGCTGAGCTGCGCTGGCCACCAGGAGAGAGGGCGCTGGATTCAGGGCAGGCCTCTAGATGCCGAGTCCTCCATGGATGTCCATAGCCGGGCCTTGGTCACCTCTGCATGACCGGCGTGTGTGCTCTACACGTATCCCGGCCTTTCCCGTTCTTATTTTCCCTTCATGTCCAGCACCTTTCATCTGTGTTTATAAGAGCTACTTCGCCCTCCTATAGATAGTCAATCCTAGCAGGCTGGGTGTAAATATCATGCCCCCAGAGCTGGTGAGCTCTCCATTATACCTCACTGCTGCTGCCCACCCACCCTCTACCCTCATCCCCTCAATCCTGTCTTCAACTTTAGGATCTCCTTCGCTTCATAAAAACCTTTTTTTAAAAAAAATACTTTTTTAATTGATTTCAGAGAGGAAGGGGGAGGGAGGGGGAGAGAGAGAGAGAAACATCAATGATGAGAGAGAATCATCGATCGGCTGCCTCCTGCACGCCCGTGACTGGAGATCGAGCCCACAACCCAGCATGTGTCCGACGCGAATCGAACTGTGACCTCCTGGTTCATAGGTTGATGCTCAACCCCTGAGCCACACCGGCCCGGCTCATATAAACCTCTTAAGTGTTCAGTGTCTTCTAGCTGACATCTCCCTGTCCCCACCCCATCACATTTTGTCCACCGCCAGCCATCATCTACCTCGTTGTTGCTTCCTGCAGGCCTCCTGCGCCTCGGTGAGCCCGGCTGCTGTCCTAGGGGCTGCTTGCTCTGGGAGCTGATGGAGTTCCTCATCCTGCCCCGCCGTGTGGCTTTCGTTGCTGAGTCGTCCTTGGGCTCTACTAGCTTCGAGGGTTTTGCTTCCCCAAACTTGCATGGTACCGGGCAGCACTGATCCTTCAGTCGTCGCCTGAGCACCAGCTTAACCAGGGAGAGCGAACTGGTAATGAACGGATTCTTGACCACTTCCCAGGAAGAGGTGGTACCTGGTGCTGGGGCGCTGATGGTCCGCTTTGCACAGGTCCTGGGCGTCCAGATGTTGGTGAGAGCTGGGGAGTCCACATAGCAGTCCTGAAGCCTGCTGTTCAGTAAGATAGACTGCCGGAGTCCGTAGGTGGGGATGCTGGGGTCTCGCCTCATGTAGATCGGATGCTAGAATTATAAGGAGGGGGAGAGGGGACAAAAAAGACCAGTTCTCAAGCAGAGACCAGAAGGTCGACTTTGGAGGCAAAGTATTCACATCTGTTTCTTCCACACCTGTCTTAGAAATCGTTCTACACATCCTCTCTCCTTCTCCCCAAAGCCCTTGGTCCCAGGGTCACGGGGACGGTCTGCCTCTCAAAGAACATCGCATGCTTGGGCCGGAAGTGGAAGGGCAGGGAGCTTTACAAGGAACCAAAGACTGTTCCTATCTCCTGGAAAGCTAAGGGGAGCCGTGGCAGGAAAAGGATGGGCGATAGGATCATTTCCGATTCCTGTAGGGCCTGTAGTGACTCCTCAGCCAGGTCAAGTCCTGCCAAACCCTGAACACTTTCTAACCAGGCGGCCAGGAGCCAAGAAAAGCTGCGAACCAGGGACACACACTCTGGGGTCCCTAAAGGTAAAGGCACAATGTAAAGGATGCCTCTATTTCCTGGGACCAGCCCAGAACAAGGGAATAATCTGGATAGATCAGAATCCCTCATGGAGAGAAACCTGGCTTTCTAAGAAAGGCCATCTATAAGAACATTAAATCACCTTACCATATTTCGGTTGCCTTAAATTTTATTTTAGCAAGGGGAAAGAAATATGTATTTTCTTTTCCTTTTCTCTCTCTCTCTCTCTCTGTTTTTGTTTTGTTGGGATCTATCGAATCACCTATCTTTCTCTGCCTCAGTCACGTATGGGCAAATTGCAGTTTGCTTAGGGTTTGGCTTACATGCAGGCAGGTTTGAGCCATTATCTCTAGTATTTGTGATGTCACTTTGTTTTGTGATGTGGGTGTGGGTGGGTGTTACATCATCAAATTTTATAGTGAAATTAAGTTGGAAGGAGTTCTATTTTATTGTCTTCCCAGCCCCAGGAACTTCTGAAGTCCTCATTTCCCCCCCCCCCCAAATGGCTCGGGTGAATTCGGAAGGTCCTCGAGTTCTGAAGGAGTGGACGCTTTGCACGCCACGCAGTCAGAAATGCAGAGCGGATTGTGGGTCCCGGGAGGGGGGTGCATTCTTCCACGTGCAGAAGTGCCCTCCTTCTGCACATAAAGGAGGTACTGTTGACTCCTCCGCGTGGCTGCCAAGGTTAGGGACCAGAAACGAAAGAACACGTTCCTGCAGCCCTGGGCACCTCTCTCTCTCGGTGTCTCTCCCCGGGAGACTACACGGCCTTCTGGAATGTGGTTTTATTTTACATCCCATGGCAAATGCCGTAATTAGAGCTGTTAGCAGTGTTGAGGGCTTGAAACGAGAACAAAGACGCCTCTTCCTGGGAACTCTTGGGCAATGCCTCGCTCCTTATCAGGTGCTCGTCCTGGTGGTGGTTTTGATTTTTTTTTTTTTCATACACAAAATGCCCAAGGAGGCTCCCTCCCCCGGGGGCAGGAGAGCGGAATGATGGAAAAACAGAGTGTGAGTCTGGCAGGCGTTCCTGGAATCGCATGTGTTGCCCGTTTGATTTTTTTTTTTTTCGAGTGTTGTCCCTGGAGTGAATCAAAGTCTGCAGGCAGACCGCACCGCAGGCCGTGGTAGAACCACCTCCAGGTGGACCCACAGACGCTCGCTCGGGAGGACAATGGGGCCCATTCAGCCGCGAGCCCTGGCCTCACCTCCGGAGAGGTGGGTCAGTTTTAGAGCAGGGCGTTGGAAAGGGTTTGTCTTCGGGAAGGGTTTGCGAATGTCTGGAGACGGGGCAGGCAAGCATCTGAATCCCAGAGAGGCGGCACCAGGCTCTGGGGCTACTGTCTGCCTTTGCTCTGCAAGGCGGAGGGGGCAGAAGGGGAAAGTCGGGCCAGAAAGGCATCCTGGGGGTAGCTCTTCTGTTTCTCTTCTTCCCAGCCTCGAGGTGGCCTTGTTGTACTTACTTTCCTAGGTCTTGCCCTCAGTGACCAAGTGGCATTGCTCTGGCTCCGAGGGGCGCTCTATATCTCCTGCTTCTGGCCACATGGACGGCGGCTGAGACTCTTCAAATTCCAGTAAATTCTGCCTTCTCTCCCTTCAGTAGACTGAACCCCAACAAGAAACCCTGACGTTCCTTGGAACTAACCCAGCGTCATTTGGCCTGTGCTGTTTCTCCTACGTCAGTAAAATCTGTATTTATTGAAGGCCTACTGTAGGCCAAGCACTGTTTCAGACACTTTACAAGCGTCATCCCCTGAAATGACACCAACGGCCTTATGAATTTGGACACTGTTGCCATCCCTACTTGACAGTTGAAGAAACGTAGGCACACACTGCTCAAGAACCATGCCCCACAGCTGGTAACCAGCAACAACCGCTGGACACAACCAAGCTGTACACCACCCCACTCTTGCTCTTCCCCAGCTATTACTGGTCGGCCCATCCACGTACCACACCTGCGCCCAGTTCTAGTCCTACCTGGCCTTGTCAGGAGACTTCCTCTGGGCTCAGGAGTTGGTCTGTCGGAGTTGACATCCCAGATCCATGTCTCTTTGGGCAAGTGAATTCACATCTCTGAACCTTATTTGCCTCATCTGTGAAATGGGGTTGCAAATCATGCCTCCTCTAGGACCACTGGAGGATGAAATGGGACTATGCATGTGAGGCCCTTGGTATGGCTCTTGGTGCATAACAAGCGCTCAACAAGTCATGCTCTTATTAACAATATTAATATTGTGGCCCATTCCCCCGTCTGACTCTTTCTTGAGCCCCTGCTGCCCAGGGTCTGAGTGACATAACCCAGTATTTGATATGGAGTTCATCTCAGGTCCTTCCTGTGCATCCATCTGGTCTATGAGGACAAGCAATGGGCCTCTTGAAGTGGAAGGATTCTGATCTGGCTTGCGTCTCCCCACATTTCTCTTCCTATGATCCATCTTCACTAAGCATTGGTCAGACTCATCGACCTCACAGAAGTGGGATAGTTACAGGAGGTACATGTCTCCCTGGTGGTGGGAGTGATTCATGCTTCATTTGACGGAAAGGGAAGCGGGTACCCGAGGATACGTGAAGGAAAGTGACTAGTCTGTAATAGCGATTGTTCCATCCAAGGTTGTTCAGAATTACAAAGTCAAGATGGAAAGACTCTTTGGTTCGGGGTCCTGACACCATGGCAAGAGTTTCCACTGTTGGTGCCAACCCTTGATTCTCGAACCTGGGGTTGAGGCACTAGGGCTTCCATATTGCTCAGCGGCCTGTTCCTCAGTTTGACTCACCACTGAACCTTTTTCATTCTGCTGAGCTCAGTCTAAATAACTTTTATTTTCCACCCATCATTTGGAGCTGTGCTTCCTGACATCTCTAAACCACCGCTTCTATTTGGAAACACATCTGCCCTTCTTTGATGCGTAGCCAAGCTCTCCTCACTGTATTTTTAGCTCCTATAATGTTTCGTCTTTCTTTTTTTCCTTTCCGACAACCTTTCTCCTCTTTAATTTCTCTTAGCTCCTCTTCTTTTGCTGGAGGATCCATTAATGAAGAAGAAATGGAGCCAGTTTAGATTAATTCTTGTCTTTCCCCTTCTTGCCCAACTCCCAAATTCTAGTGGAATTGAGTTGTTTTTAATCTTCTCAGAAGATGTTTTGATTTTAACACCCAACCAGTAAACTTCCACACCCATATGGGAACATATCTGAGGTTTGTGATGTAGAAGGTTTGGGAAAAAAGAGAAAAACTTTGGATGAGAGAATTTGCAAAGATTCCTGAACCATGATGCAAACTCTGAGGACCAGTGATTTAGACCACATGTGCTGAGTACACACCCATCATGGGCCAAGCATACGAAATCAGGGCACCCTGCCCACCCTGCTACCCCTTCTCACCTGACTCACGGTCACCTGGATGTCCCGCAGACACCTCTAACTCATTATGTTCAAACCAAATTCTCTCTCCCTTCACGCCCATCAGAACAGCAAACTACTACTTCTCTTGAATTTTCCATCACTAGTTGCCTGGCCCAGAGACCTGGGAGACAGGATCAGTAACAGTACTGTACTGAGCTGAGCCTGGGCCTAAAGGAAAATCAGAAATCTATATCCTGCTTTTACTTAAAAATTTAATATTTTGTTCATCTTGAATTTTGGGTCATTCATTTAGATTTTTAAATATATTAAATTAAAACTGTTTATTAAGTAGATTCAATGTATTTTAAAACCCATTAAGGGATATTTATTTCTTTATCTTGATTATTGAATTTTTGGGGCTTTCTGAAATTTTGTGCCTCAGCTGAACGCCTCACTCACCTCTCACCCTCATCTTGGCCATGGATCACTCAGTAAACACATGTCGCCAGAACCCTATAAGGACAAGAAGCCAATTCACCATGGCGACTAGAAGCATAGTCCTGTAGTCCTTACTGCCTGGGTTCAAAGCCCAGCTCCACTGCTGTATGACCTATGAATGAACCATTTAACATCCCTGTCTGAGGGGAATGGTAAAGGTGCCTCCTCCATAGGGGCTATTGGGAGGATTATGTGAAATGCAATGCCAAACACTGCACCCTACCTAGTCGAGTCCTCAGTAAATGTTTGCTATGGTTGTTATTATTATAATCAGGCTCCCCATCCAGTGCTTGCTTTACAACATGACTGCCCTGTGAGCAGAAGTCACCCCAACTAGAGTTTCAAAGATACCAGGATCATCCAAATGCAACCAGCTGAGATCTCTGTTTCTTTTGTTTGTTTTTAACCCTCACTGAAGGATATGTTTATTGATTTTTTAGAGAGAGAAAGAGAGAGAGATTGATGTGAGAGAGAAACATCAATTGGTTGCCTCTCATGCATGCCAAGACTGGGGATTGAACCCACAACCTAGGTATGTGCCCTGACCGGGAATCGAACCTGCAACCTTTTGATGTATGGGATGACGCTCCAACCAACCGAGCCACCCGACCAGAGCTCTCCCAGCTTCTTGGCAAATCCAGCCGCCCACGGAGGAATCCAAGGGTCCAACTGCAGAACACAGGAGGCAAACAGACCACCAACAACACCTTCCTGAAGGCCCAGGGGCTACAGCCCGTGTCCTCACTCTTTCCATGAAATAAAGCTGCTCACCGACCAAGGCATGTGAAGCACTGAAATGAATCTCTGAGACTGCTCCTTGCCAGGGGCCAGGACCGCATAGCTGAGCAAAAGACCTTGAGCCATTAAGTGCCCTGACCTAGACTGGCTCGGCTGTATTTTTAGCCTCTGTCCGCTGTTTCCATCACCTGTGCTGGGCTTTACGCTGGAAAAGAGAGGAGGGAGGCCTGGAGAAGGCATGAGGGATGTTTCTCATAGCAGCCAGTGGGGGCAGGGGCTTGCACACTATTTCTGAATTCTGTTGCACAAGCCAGATCCACAGGCATGCAACCTGGGTAGGGACATAGGTCCCCGAACTTAGAAGGGCCCCACACTTGGTATAATGCCCTGTGGTTGCCATCTTAAAATTCCTGGTCACTCTGAACAGGGGGACCCCACACACACATTTTCATTTCTCACTGGGCCCTGCAAATCACACAGCCCTTTCAGTCTGTACACAAAACCAAGACAGCCAGACGCAGGAGGTGGCTGGTACCCATGCAGCGGGGTGCCTTCCCGCAGGGGGCCAGGCCAGACCAGGCCAAAGCTACTGTCATGAGGCATGAATCCCCAGACTTGGGCCAAATAAACCTTACTTTGCACCTCCTGTCTGCCCCTTCCTACGTGCTCCTCAAAGACTGGGATGGGATGCGAAAGACTTGTAAACTGTAGAGCCGTGTCCTGCTTCGCTAAAACCTGTCCCCAGCTCTCTACTTAAACTAGTCCACCCATCGTTCTGTGCCAACATCACTTTCTTGGTTCTGCAGTACTTTCTGTTCTCTGAGATCCACCTTATTTTCATGCTGGGTGACGGGCCCCCTCCCCTCCCTTAGAATGCAAACTTGTGCTGTGTCTGCTGCTGGCCTGTCCCTCACTGAATATTTTTTAAAGCTATTAAAGGTATTGAGGTACCAGTGGTCCGTAGCATCAGCTTCAGGTGTACAATGTTACATTTCCTTACCTGTGGACTCTATTCCGCACTCACCACCCCAAGTTTACTTTCCTTCCGCTTCTCTTCGCTGAGTATTTGTGGGATGGAGGGAGGTTCACCTGTATTGAGTGCTTTACTCTCTGCTGGCGGGTTCACCTGCATCTTCTCATTTAATTCTCCTTCCACGTGTCCGGCCTGCGCCTGCAAGGGCACGAGTTAGAGGTAGAGCTCCCAGGTCCTGCCAGAGGAGGAGGCGTTGGAAGTGGGAAGGGCGCCAGGTGGGATGGGGAGGGTGTGTCCTCCGGGGACCAGGTGTCGCTGGGTGGGGGGTGTCCCCCTGCTCCATCAGGGAGCCCGGAGGATTCCTGAACTCGGGAATGCCACCGTGAAGACAATGACGGAACAAGATTCTTCTTGCCGCAGCTCTGGGTCGTGTGGGTGGAAAGGGACTGAGATTGAGAGGCCTCGTGGGAGGTAGCTGCGCCTTGGAGGCCCAGCCCTGGGAACAGCTTGGGGGGGAGGGGGGGTTGAAAAGGGGACCCTGGGAAGGGGGCGAGGGGGCCGGTGCACCGAAAGCGGGCCCGGGACCGGTCCCAGCCCCGCTCTGGGCGCGGCGAGTCGGCGCACGAGGGCAGATGTTCCCGCCGCCGCCGCACCGGGCGCAGGTCCCGCACTTGCAAGTCCGGGACCCGGGACTTGAAAGCGCCCGGCGCGCCGCCCGGACCTGCCTCGCGGGGCGTCGCCGCGGCACTTTGGGCGGGAGCTGCAGGAAAATGTGCACCGCCCGGGGGAGTGCGGGGGAGAAGGGAGGCCCGCCGCGGACCCCGAGCGCAGCTGGCGCAGGCCTGGGGGCGTGGGGAGGGGAAGGGCCTGCGCGCGCTGAGCCTCGGTCTCAGCGGCATCCTCGCCCCAGCCACGCCTGCACCTCTGCGCGTCGGGCGCCGGCTGCCTTTGCTTCGCTGTCACCTACTATCGTGAAGGCCTTTTATGAGGCCCGTTTTGCAGACGACTGAGGCCCAGACGGAGTAGAAAACTGGCCCCCGTGGACAAAGGATGTGCGATAGGATTCGGAACCGGGCTCGGTGTGCTGCTTCTGTGGCTGCACGAATGGGGGTGGTGAAAGGAACCCAGCATTTCCCAAGCTCCTACTGTGCGCGGGTAAAAAGTTTCCACCGCTGTGGGAGCAGTTGCTGTCAACGCCCCCGTTTCACAGGGGAGGAAATGGGGAACAAGGGAGCTGTTTTCCCTTGAATGTCGCCCAGGGTAACAGGTGACCGGATGGGGGGGACTAAACAGGCACCGGCTGCCTCCACTGCACCCTTAAAAAATATATATAGCCCTAACCGGTTTGGCTGAGTGGATAGAGCGTCAGCCTGTGGACTGAATGGTCCCGGGTTTGATTCCGGTCAAGGGAATGTACCTGGGTTGCGGGCACATCCCCAGTAGGGGGTGTGCAGGAGGCAGCTGATCGATGTTTCTCTCTCATCAATGTTTCTACCTCTTTATCGCTCTCCCTTCCTCTCTGTAATTAATAAATATATAAATATATATTC